CCTAAACCCTAAACCCCAAACCTGTTCTGCCTCCTCAGCCGCAACCTCGCCGTCGGCCTCAGCCTCCTCGGCCGGCTCAGGAGCAGCCTGCGGGAGAAAGTAAGCCTTTTTGGGGGACGTGAAGGGTTTAGGGTTTAGGGTTTTAGGGTTTAGGCTTTAGGGTTTAGGGTTTAGAGTTTAGGGTCTTGGATTTAGGGTTTGAGGTTTTGGACTTACGGTTTAGGACTCCTCTTTCTTCCCTTTATCTGTGAAGACTCTGCATGCTTGCAGTTAATCGCACTGCTCTCGATAATGATGAATTCAATAGCATCCCATGCCGATCCGTGGATCTATGGCGACGCTTGCAACCCAAAATTTCGGGGGGTAATAAGGATTTTATAGGGGACTGTAGGAATTACGTGGAGGATGGTAGAATATGAGTATTGTGACGGGGAGTACCGTTTTCTTCGGTATACATAATGCTTTAGTCTTGCTAGGATTTCAGGTTCGAGGTTTGGAGTTTAGGGTTTGGGGTGTTTAGGGTCTTGGATCGCAATTAAGGTTGGGAGCCTTCAGGGCTTGGGGTTTGAGGATGTAGGTTTACAGGGTTCAGGGTCTGGGTTTGGGCTCGGGGGGTGATTCGGTTTAGGGTCTTCAGGGGGTTCTGGGTTTGAGTTGGAAGGGTTGGGGATTTACAGGCTTGAGGCTGTAGTGTGTCTCCCAGAGAACATGTGGACGTTAGATGGCAGAATCTTCAACTCCCTGAAGTCGGGGGATACAAGCCGAACACGAAAGTCATGGATGAAGAGCTCATGTTGATGCCAATGAAAACCCCTTTGCCTGGAAGGCATGCAGACATGCCTCATGTCCTGCGTGCATCACCCTTCCAGCCCTTTCCATGCCCGGAACCCACATCATGGGAGGGAACCTCAACAGATCGTGACGGCAAATCTTCTAGGCAGAATGCCATCTCTATTACTGTGACAACTTTCTTCTCGGAGCACGACTCTTTTCCTTCAACCTGTGCTTCTGACCTGACTTGAGAACATTTACCGGAAGGTTCATTGAAAGTACACACATCAGATTGCAAGTCGCAAAATCCCAACATCACCTAAAGCCCGAAGTTCTAACGACTGAACGTTGGCACTTGCAGTTGTATCAACTACGCCGAGCTCTTGCAGGTGCAGCTCCAGGAGTATGTCCCACATTGCATCCAAAAAAATTCCGAAACCTCGCAGTTTGGATGGCAGATGGAATAATCCCCCACATTCCTTTAGTCTGGTTCTTGAGAGAATTTTCACTCCATGTAGGTTGGGTCTTCATGTCGTGGGGAAGGACCAACATGTATCCCTAAACCCTAAACCCTAAAGAATCCTAAATCCCTAAAATCCTAAACCTTAACCGCCTCTGCCATCTCTCCAGGGACTTCAACCTCCAGCTCCACCTTTCCGTGAAGGGCATCGGTTAGGTGGACCCCCCACCCGGTAGTAGTGGCTATAAGGGACAATTAGGATGTAATTGGGGTCCTCTTATATTCCTATTATACCACTATTACAGGGCGGGTGGGGGTCCTCCTAAGTGCGGCATCGGATTTAAGAGGAAGGGTCAAACGCATGTTTACGGTGTGGGGCTCAGGCCAAACTCCAGACGTTTCAAAACACGTCGATCGAGCCAAAATGATGACAATGGAGCTTGTGGCCGTTCATCTCCGAGGAAAAGCTCTAGGGCTGGGGATGTTGGCTGCCTGGTTGGGTTTAAACTTGTTAATCATATGGAAGATTCCCAAAATCAGCGGTACCTTTCTAGAGTTCCCAATAATACGGATGATATTATTTTGGGGTCTATATTGGGGTCCCCCTATTTCGGGATACTACCATATAGAACCCTAGCAAGTTGAACCTCTTGAAGCAAAATTCTGAACAAGCCGGGTGAAGACGCGTGAAGACAGTAAACTCGGAACAGGTTTGGAAGATGATGCCAAGGAAACCATGGACCCAAATCCCTAAACCCTAAACCCTAGACCCTAAACCCTAATCCCTAAACCCTAAGCCCTAAACCCCAAATAGCAGTTTCTATTCTATTTTCCATTCTCCCAGTATAATCCCAATACAACCCTACATCCTAAGACTCATGCCATGGGACGGAAATTTATCGCTCAACCTGTCATGATCCCAGACCTCACGCAGACAAACATGCGCGACATCTACAAGAGGCAACAACTTTCCATGAATAGGGGGACTCTGTCTATATATGTGTGTGTATATATATATATACCGGACACCCAGGTACCCCTAATTTGGGGACACCGCGAATAAACGAGTTTATGCGTCGCAAAATCAAGCTCAGCCGACCTCCTCTTCATCCTCCCCCTCAGCCTGGAAAGCTGCAAGGTCCTGACAAGTTACAGCAGGGTTTAGGTTTTAGGGCTTGAGGCTGTTAAATGCAAGTGCAAAGTGGGAATTACGTTTCGCCTGATGCCAGAAATTGGCGGCAATTTTAGCACGAACTTTCGCCAAACTTGCAAGCAGTAAGGTTGCCGTTTAACATTGCATGGTTGTCGGTCGCATAAATGCTTCTGGAAAATGTGTTTCAAACCTGCAGGTCCTAAGGAACACGGAGCATGACAGAAGGCTTCCTAGCATTAAGGCAGTCTAGGTCGTCAGATCCTACTTGGCATGCGGATTTCCCACAAACGGCTTGTTTGTTGTCAGTGGCCATTCTTGCGGGTGCTGTCCATTGTAATTTTGGTACCACCCGTCCAACATTTCACCATCGGCAGGAACCATTGTAGATCGCAAATTGCACAACTCATTTAACACCAAACTACAGTAAGTCTGAGTCAACACCCTCTCAATTGAAAGACGAACGAAACCGTGGAGTTTTGCTGTGTTGGTATGGCTGTGCTCATGAGACGGGCCCGTTGGCCCACACGCAGCTAAATCACCACAGCTGGCTATCATCCTTGAATTGATACCTGTTTCTCACTGTATACGCTGATCCGAGCCAAGACATTTGTGGGGATTCACCAAGTGGAATGCGCATGTGCACGCTGATGGCTTATCATTATCTTTGATGATCCTTACCACTTACCAATGCCATGAAAACGACACTTTGCAGTTTCGTCGGGCCGGACCACCGAACATGTAAGCAAGGTGGGTCAAGACTCCGGGCAGCAGCCAGAACACTCAAGCTTGGCAACGTGACGACCGATATGGTGCCAGGCGTGGGTTGGGCTACGACCGCTGCTGAGGGTGGTGGTGGTCGTGCTGCTGGCTGCTGCTGTTCTGCTGCTGATGCTGGTGCTGGTGCCGCGGGCGGTGCTGGTGTGATGCGAACAGGAAGCGCCAGCTGCGGGTATGCTGCCTGATTCCATGACTTTTCGAGCAAGAACAGATTCACTGTAGCATCCATCGCTGCAAGTGGAGCAGCGTGGCAGTGTCACAATAAAAAGAAGCGCCCGGCTTGTTGGACTTGCGCACAGAGGGAGAGCAAGAAAGCGCGATAGAGACGAGAAAGTACAATGAAGACTCTATACGTCTATGCCAAGAAGCGGGATGAACAGAGAACGAGCCTAGCTGCCAGGAGCTTGCAAACCGAAAAGCTAAGCGAACCAAACGCGTTGTAAAGCTGCCAGCCCTTTTGCCTCCGCAGCGGGCACGTCACCTTCCTCGCCCGCAACTGGTTCAACCAATGTCCTCGCCTGGACCACAGCTCAAGACGACGAGAACCGATGACAGGTCATAATGTTCAGCAATCCTAAGCGTTCAGGCCGTAGGCACCATGCGACACGGGGTGGTGTGTTGCAAAGTGCCGGCATGAAATTGCAACTTTCTTCTGTATAGCAAAAGTAGCCGGGCTGAAATTGCAAATTTGCTCCTGTGTGTATCATAAAAATCTTGCCCTTGTTCCAACTGTTGTTTAAAGCATGTCATGCAAGTTCATCGTAACTATCATTGGGCTGTTCTTGGTGTCTGCTCACAAAGCAAACTTTCGGCGGTCTTGCAAGCCCGTGATTGGAGGAACTCGATGATGTCAAGTAGGTTTGTAAGCTTGGATGCCCTTCCGACTTTCACAACCGGCGCTGCGAATCCCCGTGCAAATTGTTAAGCCCCATCATGCTGCGAATGTTTCTGCGTCGGTCACCCGCAACCTAAAGAAGAAATTCCTGAAACCACACCCCAAACGTCAAAGCTGCCTTGCACCCATCGCCGAACTCCTTGCATGCGAGCGTAACCGTATGAATCCAAGCTGCATCAGCAAGTCCAAGATTCACCAATTGCTTGGAGTCCCGCATTGGAGTTGGGCGCAGGTCTACATAGTGGTGTCACTTGGGAGCGGGTACAGATTGTGCTCCTGGCTTCCACATTGTTGAGGCCAAGTCCTGCATGTAGTTCGAAGCCTACCGCATAAAACTCGTGTGTCCTCTGCATCTCTTCTCGTGTTCTTTAATGCTGCGCTAGACGGCATGACTTCTGTTGTCTTACATGATCTGGGAACGAATGACCACCACGAGCCCCAAGGCCACCCACCCCTTGCCCAAACCCAGGTTTTCGAGATTACTTATTGCTTATGTGTTGTAAGATTCATAATTTCAAGTTCAGGGGGGGCAAAATGGACAAGGCTCAACACTTAAGCGGATGAGAGTTGATGGCTTGGTCATTTGGTGCGTGGTTGACCGTTCAGGGCTTCGTGGAGCAAGAATCATTGGGACAGGTTGAGGTGAAGTGCTTGTGCTTAAGTGGATTAGGGCTGAAGTTGCAGATGAAACGGTAGGCTTTGAGGTTCGGGGCTTGCGGTTCAATGTTTAGGAGAAAGGACGACCGGAGTCCAGATGGTGCTTTGCCTAGCCAGGTAGCCAGGAAAGGAATCGGATTGGACAGCGGTCTTGGGCACAGGCTGAAAAGAGGGGAGGAAACCCTGGCAGGAGAAACGGGCATCTCTACATCCTGACTACGGGTCAACTCAACTACTTGAATCCCTTCTGAATGCAAGTAAGTTCATGCCTAACTTCTCGTGCAAGCTTGCAATGTGCGACGCGCGTCACAGTTGAACAGTGCCACGTGCGGCACACTGCCCTTGCGACAGGAGATGCTGCGCCTTGGGCTTCGTCATGTCTGCCCAAGGGGCAGAAGCTTCCCCATGCCGACATCGTAGCAGCAATGCACCAGCTCCACCACGTGCATGCTGGGGCGTGTGCCGGTGGTCATAGTGTGACTCGAGCAGAATAGGCTGCTCCGTTTGAGAGCACCCGCGGGTTGCAAATGGTGTTAGTCACCTGAGTATAGCACCCCATGTAGTACCAGTTATTGGCTCCGTAAAGATCCTGGACACAGCTGCTGATGCCCACCTGCATGCTGCAGCTTGGCACACGCATGGAGAACTTTGAGGAGTTTGGGGGCAAGCTGTTCTGTTTACACAAGCTTCTGCTTGTTGATTGGCACTATATAATTCAGGAGGCTGGAGCCCGGCTTTGGCAGACCGTCAGGCCTCAGGCATGAGGAGGACATCCCAACGTGGGTTAAATCCCCTGGACAACGCCCTCAACGTCGCAAGAGAAAACCCTTGCCCCGCACGTATGGAGGATATCACGATGGGGCCCTACTAGGCTTTCATCATGTTAAGATGTGGAAGTTGTATCATGTAGCTGTCGTTTTGAGTGCCGGATGGGCGCCATGTACGACGAGTCAGCGAGACTTCCTGAAGTAGATGCTTTAGATAAAGTGTAGGTGGCTGTGAAACGCGGCAATGACCAGTGAGTGTCGCTTTATTCACAGTGATGTTTATTTACAAAGCCTGGTCGACCTACCCAATGGTGGACCTCCTTGCACAGGAATCGCGGGTGGCCTCTTGCAGGTTGCAACGAGGGCAGCCTGATAGGGGCATGATTGGGTCATTCAAACTTGGGTTCGATATGTCTGCACCAAGCCTGGCCAAGGTTTGTGGTTCTTTCTACCATTTGGCAAGTAGCGATCGCTAACAGGCCTCCAGCATGAGCAAATGAGCCAACCTGTGTCGAGGAGTTTTTAGGAATGAGGTTCTCAATTCAAAAGGAAAATCTAAACTTAAGTTTTGAAGCTCCAACTTCCTGGAAGCTTTTCACATCCCAGGACACCGCTCGGGCGGTAAGTCCTGGCCAAAGAACTATGAACCTCCTCGACCCTAAGCACCACGAGAAATATCCGCAAGTGTAGCAAGTCAGCGACTACGCCGTGGCCACAGAAACACCGGAGCGAGCGAGGGACCCCAATAATTCCAAAAACCAATAAGCTTATTATAAAGAGATTCTTAAGAGGGCTCCGAAAACCCCCTAAATATCTCTTGCGGTCTTCACAGCCCCGAAACGGACCCTTTTCAGGAAAAATGATGTAGAACCTTACCTCTTCATTTGTCTGAAGTAGTTAGAAGGTTTTGGTACCCACTAGACTATAATGAGAGTTTGTACTGGGTTATAACCCTGAAGGATTCTATACTGGGATAGAGGATTGTGCTAACCCGTATCGCAGAGAATCAGGTGGAAAGAAGATCAAACTTTGCATGGAAACTCGTGTTCGGTATAGGGTTTTTGACCTCGTTGATAAGAGGGCTTTGGTGATGCCAAGCCCTTGGTGATGACAACAGCGGGCTCATTCTCAGGGCTGGTGCAACTAGAACCCTCTTTAATAAGCTGAGCAGGCGACCAGAAGTCATTGATACCTTTTGTGCTGTAGCATCTGCTGCCGACGCATCTTCATGTGGCCATGATAATCCAATCTTGATGCAGTGGCATCTGCTTTGAACTGTTAGCAGCTATTACTCGAAATCATGCTGAATAGCAGCAAGCAGGAAACACAACACCCAAACTGCTGGACCACAGGCCCCTCTACCCCATCTTGATCTCTATTTCATTTCCCGTTATTGGGTAATAATCCCCAAAAGCCCCATATAATCTGATGTATCCCTACCCCCTAAACCCCATTTACCTCACAGAATACAATCATTTGAATGTTGTTTTCCATTCCCCCTAGTGGCGACCCGGCGCCACAGTGGTGGTTCTTTGGGTTCCTTGCTCAGGAGCTGGTTTGAGAGCGTTTTCCCAGGATTTCCAAAGTTTGCCTTTGAGAAATACTCAGGGAACTGCTACATGGGCTTAAATACTTGCAAAACTCGCTTTGGGATGTACCATACCCACATCTTATATGAGGTTGTGAGGGGAGAATATTGGTGGGGCCTGCGTTCCCCATTCCCAGCTACACCCTAAAGGTTTTCCATTCCCTACTACCCACCACCAGGCGGACTGATTTACACTGAAGGGTTGGTGCCAAAGATGCAAGCATGGGATGCTTGTGATGCGGCGGTTTCTCAACATCAAGGACGTCTTGGCAGTGTTTAAGACAAGGCTTGTTGCATCTCGGACATGTCGCGGTTTTCGAAACATCCGCATCGCGTTACACGATGAAGTTATCTTTCCTCCGCTTTCCGTGTATAGAACATGTCCCCCACTCCCACAACCCTAAACCCTCATATGTACCAGATACCCAGGAATCCTCTCGACATGGACAGACAGGGGATTCAAAATTCACCAAATGGACTAATTGACGATCATCTGGTTTAGGGTTTTGGGGCAAAGGATTCCTGATCAACCGCACGGACTGATCATTTTGTCATTTGAGTAGTGTGTTTTTTGGTGGTTAAGCCCAGTAAGATTATATTCTTTATATAAAATACTATACCCCAAAAGGAGGATATAATCTTACTCTATATTGGGTACCATAGTATCCCCAAATCAAAATGCTACTCGTTTGGGGCTAATCAAAGCTCCTCTTGGGGCCATGGTTCTGAAATTGAGCCGGTATCTGACATCAATTACCCAGACCGGGTTTAGGGATTTAGGGTTTAGGATGTAGGATCCAAAAAATGGAACTAGGGTTTAGGATCCAAAAATGAACCCCCCAAAATGGCTCCATTACCACAGGGGGTTCCATTTTTTGGATCCTTTAGGGGGTCTAGGTAGGGAATTTGAGCAAGGGGAAGAGAGATCAGTTCGCTTTAATACGTGCCTTGAATGCCAAGCCGCTCACCCCCTAGGAACTAAAGTCAATATTTCCAAGGTAGTTCATTGGGATGCCCCAGGCTTGTATCAGCTACAGTCAATATTTCCTATATAATTAATGGAAAGGAATATGAGAACGAATAGAATGGAAAGTAAAGGAGAAGAACGTGATAACTGAAACAGAAGCTGGGATTATACAGGGGGTTATAAGGGTTAAGATTTCCCGTGCAAGTAATGGACATGGGCTCCTATTAGGGAATATCTCAGAGATTATTCTAAACAATGAAAGAGACCCCTATGTCGACCCTGAATCGTCCCTTAGTTTCTTGCTAACCCTACTCTGGACAGCAATTCATAAAGTCCCCAACCCTAAACCCCAAACCCTAAACGTTGGACTTAGGTTAGGGTTCAATCTCAGCATCGCAAACTCGCAGCTCCAAACTTCAGAACCCCAACACTCGAATCCCGAGCCCTTCACTCCCCCTAAAACATCTGAGCTACAGTCTAAACTCCGTAAAGGGGGCTACCATGTACCTAGGGTTTAGGACTTAGGGTTTCAAGATCTAGGGTTTAGGGTTTAGGATTCAGGCTCTAGGGTTTAGTGTCTAAACTCCTTAAAAGAGGGGATTACACAGGAGACGACTATAAGGGGGTTATGAAGGGGGCTACTAGCCCCCTAAACATTAAACCCTAAACCCTACGCCTTGGGGACTGCCCCCCTCAGTAACAGTTGGATGATACTTAAAATATGGAGACAGTGATTGGGTGGGGGCAGTACCCAACCCTAAGCCCTAAACACTGCTTTGGCGATCCCAACCCCAAAGATCTGCCGAGGCCAGGACCCCGGCTGAGTACTCCTCGAAGGACTCTGCTTGCCCCTGCGAACGGTATTAGGTTCAGGGTTTTGGGGGCCTAGGGCAAGGTTTAGGGTTTAGGGTTCAGGGTTTAGGGGTCTAGGGTAGGGTTTAAGGTTTAGGGTTTAGGGGTCTAGGGTGTGTAGCCGACACTATAGTGTCTGGTTGGAAGTCCTTTGTTTGGTCCCTGAGGGTCTCGGGTAAGCAAGATTTCCAACATCGCTTTGAGGTCCAACAACTTCTAAAACCTACACCCTTCACCCTAAGTCCTAAGCCAAAAAACCCTAAGACGGGCATTCTTCCCGCCAATCTTTGCTTAGTAGCCGCTGTTCACAACCTCTCCATATGAGCTATAGTCTTAACTCTTTACTCGGGTTACATAGGGGATTCATGTAAGGGAGTACTATAGGGGTTGCGAAGGGGGATACTAGGCACTAGGCGTTTAGACTGTAGCTTATATCACGAACCACAGCAGGGCAAGCGCGAAGAAGTGTTTTGCCCTCTGCACCATGGGGCTCTGGTATCTAAAAAGGAATTTCGAAACCTTTCAGGTTTCAGACTTCTCCTGTCCTACCCATGCCGAAGTGGGAGTGTGGGAAGTGGGTTGTACAAACTCTCCGGAGGCTACGCAGGCACGAGAGAGATCCATTCCCCTGCTCCCAACTTGGCATGAACAATCATGGACTCCCCTAGTACACCTCCCTATACTACTGCCCTGGGTTCCCACTGAATCACGTAAGGATGTTTTCCAGATAATCAAGGCTGTGTATCGGGGATAGTATAGAAGGGCAGGGTAGTAGGCCAGCCCATGAACTAAGCAAAAAATCCAAGCTGTGGCGGGCAGGACCCGCAACTAGTCAAAAATCCATCAAGCCGGGCCGCCCCAGGCTTAAGAGGGTTATATAGGGGATGAATGTGGGGCAGTATTCCATGGCTTTTAAGGGGGATGCTCTGAGTTTAGACTATAGCTCATATGGCGTTGATCTAAAAGTCCGTTGTGGAATTACTGTACTTCGGGCTTCTGTAGGTCCAGAATGGCATTTTCATGGAACGGGAATTTCAATTAAATACCATATCAGGCTTCATCTTCTAGGTTTACGAGTAACGCATGACTGGAATAAGATCTCAAAGTGTCTATCAGGTCTCATATGCAAGAGTTCTGTCAGGACAAGTTGACAATGAATTTGCCGGATTTCCGGCCTACATTATTCCTGCGGAGCCCCATGCAATGCGTGTAAACTATCTAGTTACTGGGTTATGTAGGCTTACTTTCGGGTGCATACCATCTGGTTTACAAAGCCGGCATGGGGTTCTTGGTGCTACAAACTACTCGGTGTAGCCAGCAGCCACCTCAGCTGCTATGCTGGCCAAATGTCCTTCTGAAGGTATACCATGGCGAGAGAGCCGCTCAAAGTACCTCATATGAGCTATAGTCTAAACTCCTAGTATCCCCCCTTAGTTAATAAGCCCAATAATTCGCTCTATATAATCCACTATACAACCCCCCTTCAAGGTGCTTAGACCCTGAACCCTAAAACCTTACATTATATAACCCCCTTTACGGAGGGAGTTTAGACCCTAAACCCTAAACCCTATGTAACCCCCTTTAAGGAGTTTAGACTATAGCTCATCTACTCTGGGAGTTCGTGGCTTCATTCTGAGCGAATCATGGACTATGATCTGTATATAGCCTCTATATAATATCTTACCTGAAGAAATCCAAACGGTCACCCTGGTCCAAAGCAAGTTGCGAATGGACATTGCTTCTGGTGAATCTATGTAGGATATTATTGGGGGGCTGCAGTATCCCTTTCTACTTAAGACTAAAACCACTAAACCCCAAAGTAGAAAATGCTTTTCAGATGAGGCGCTGGCTGAAGAGTCGCTGCCTCTCCTTGAATCTTCTTGAAGTACTGCTATGAACGGTCATGCTCAATCTATATTGGATTCAGATATACATGAACTGGAAACCCTAAGCTCAGACCTAAACCCTAAACCCTAAATCTACAGCAAGACAACAACCCCGTCTCCTCCTCGCTCATGATTTCGGCCAGGTCTTCTGGTTGGATCTCATGTCCTAGCAATGCCTTGCATGGGTTTGAGGGTTTACCAAGAGGCCCCAACTACCCTGAAATGGGGTCTATGTTAGATGGACGCCTCGCCCTGTAATAGTGGTATAATAGGGATATGAGAGGACCCCAATATTATCACCATTGTGCCTTGTAGTTGCTATTGCTGGGTGGGGGTCCACCTAAAAGGGGAGGCAAGTTCTGCTTCCGGCTACTTTAGGTTGTGGGGCTCAGATTTTTTTGCGTGCAGGGCCTTAAGGTAGGAGAGGGCCCAATTGGAAAAAACCTAAACCCTAAACCCTAAAAAGCAAAAAAGCAAGCGCACAAAATGAACAAGTCTAGCGTGGCAAATGGCCACGAAGCCTGGTAGCGAAATATTCCTCAATGTCAAAGGACTCATATGAGCCATGGTCTAAACTCCTAGTATCCCCTTAATAACTCCTATACTAGTCCCCTATCTTATCCCCTATGTAGACCCCCTTTAAAGGAGTTTGGACGCTAACCCCTAAAGCCTACGTACCCCCCTTTCGGGAGTTTAGACTATAGTACATGAATACCCCTCCAAAAGGAATAAGGCCAAACAAGCCCTAACAATCCCCAGTGGTCCTTGACAAGGCCTTAATTTTGTGGGGGGGGGGGGGGGNNGTTTAGGGTTTAGGGTTGGGGCCATGCACTGAGCTGAGCATAATCCCATGACAGTACTTCTTGTCCGGCCCTATGAGGGGAGTGCAGTTTCATCGGCTGGGGCCGTATCCTGCTTGGACACAGCATCCCTTCTTTTTTGGACCCCCCAAAAAAAGTCGTCGCTAATGATCGGTATCCCCTGCCGGACCCATAACCTGGAAAATCTCTCGAAGTGTCCATAAGGTCTCGGCAAACCCTAATCAGCTTTTGTGCTGGCTCGGAGGACCTTGCCACGAACTCGTCTGAGCAGAGTGATAGTCACAAGACCCATAGCCAAGGTCATAGTTCCTGCAGGGTCCATCTTACCTCTTGACTCTCTGGGTTGATAAAGGAAGCCCTATGATTTGCTATATACCCGGAAGAATAGTAACTTCATTAAAGTTCCTTAACA